ACGACTTGCAGGACGTTTCTGTGACAGTAATTGGGGGGGGGGGGGAAGGGGGGGATGTTCAGGGAGAGTGCAGGTGAGGAAAGGGTTTGGAATGGGAAGGGAAGGAAGGCACGTGGGCTCACACGTGACATGGGCGTAGACACACACACACACACACACACACACACACACACACACATACACACACACACACACACACACACACACACCGCGGTGTTGGGCATTGTCTTGGTATGTGCCCGGTGGACACGGCATGCACTGGTTCTCTGTGGTCTGATCGCTAGTGCAAGGGACCATGTATGTGTCTTGGCCGCAGTGGGTTGGGACGCACGGTTGGCAGCTGGTGTCAAGACCTGTGCCGAGCTTGGACGTAAAGGCGGGGCAGCTGGAGCACTTGTTTTGCTCTGCTTCCGTGCACCACTGGCTCACATATTGGCCTGGGAGTGAACGAAGAGAAAAGCAAGCACAGCACAGCAAGGAGAGGATATGTGTTTTTATAGTTGTTGTGCATACGTGTGGGTGCGTGGGGGAAATGAAAGCTTGTGGATGTGTGGATGTGTGGATGTGCGTGTATGTGCGTGTGTGCGTGGGCGCTTTTTCGTTCATCCCCTGTCCAACCGCCCCTCCCCCCTTTTTCCTTCGCCCACCCACGTACCCGCGTTTCCAAGATTCAACAACACTGACCTGCGGGGCATGATTTGAGGCAACGCTCGGCGTTGCTGGCTGTGACCGTGGAGAACACGGCGCCAACATCCACGCCGTTGATAAACACGGGGTACTGGTTTGGATCCGACGAGTTGATGTGGAAGGCGCCCGTGCGATCCTCCAGCATGACCACTTCGCCAACCGCTCCCCACTGACCTTCTTGATAACCGAGGAGAACAACGCCAAGCACGCTGCTCAGCACCAGCACCACTGAGGTGGCTGAGGCAGAGACAGGGGCGGAGTAGACCATTGCCGTCGATTAGGTCGATTGGTGTGTGTGTGTGTGTGTGTGTGTTGGGGAGACCAAAATGGATTGATTGTTGTGTTCTGTTTTGCTTGCACGCACTTTGCACGACGATCTTAGAGCCTTACCTCTCTTCCGTTCCTTATCCGTGCATGGAATCCGTTCACAAAAAAAAAGAAGTCGCATTGCAAGGGTAAGTGCACAATTCCAACCAACACTAACGCAACAACCAAAGATGTCGTCTTGCCCGTCGCTTGTGCTGCGCAGTGGCGCGAAGATGCCGCAGGTTGGCCTTGGCACGTGGAAGGCCGGCCCTGGTGTGGTGGCCTCCGTCGTGGAAGAGGCTCTGCGCGCGGGGTACCGCCACCTCGATTGTGCCTGTGATTACGGCAACGAGCACGAGGTTGGTCAGGGCATCAAGGCCGCCATTGACGCGGGCGTCTGCAAGCGCGAGGACATCTTTGTCACCTCCAAGCTCTGGAACACCTACCACCACAAGGTGTGTGTGCGTGTGTGTGCGTGTGTGTGTGCGTGTGTGTGCGTGTGTGTGTGCGTGTGTGTGTGCGTGTGTGTGCGTGTTTGCGTGTGCGTGTGCGTGTATGTGTGTTTGTGTTAGCATGTGCGTATTTGTGAGTGATGTGAGTGAGTGTGGGTGTGTGTTTGTTTTGACATGTGAGCACACTTGTGTGTGCATGTGTGTTTGCAATGCTGACTCCTTTTCCCCACCCTAACCATTCATTCATCACTGCTGTGCGGTAGGAGCATGTGCGCCCCGCATGTGAGCGCACCCTCAAGGACCTTGGGCTGGATTACATCGACCTGTACCTGATCCACTTTCCCATCTCCCTCAAGTACGTGGTGCGAGGCAGTGTGCGCGTGTGCGTGTGCGTGTGCATACGCGGCACCGCTCGCGTGGCGCTCAATGCGTCCTGCTCTCATGATCTCACCTCACCTGTCACTTTTTGATAGGTTTGTGCCGTTCGAGAAGCGCTATCCTCCAGAGTGGATCCACGACCCAGAGTAAGTCGCATGAACACGAGCGAATCACACACTCATACACACGGGCAGCGCACGAGCGCGCTTTTGCTGTGCACCTGCCTTTGTTGTTTCGTCTCGCATTGTCAACCCTTGCTGATACGGGACGTGGCGTGATCCGCCACACCATTGCTCTAATCCATAACCACTCTCCTCAAACGCCATTACTTTGCATTGCACACATCATCTTCACGCACCCCAAGAGCCGCCAACCCCAAGATGGAGGTGGACCCTGTGCCCCTGAGCGAGACGTGGGCCGCCATGGAGGAGCTTGTGGATGCCGGTCTTGTCAAGGACATTGGTGTCTCCAACTTCAACTGCCAGCTCCTTGCCGACCTGCTCTCCTACGCCCGCATCAAGCCCTCCGTCAACCAGGTTGGTGTGTGTGTGTGCTTGTTTTGGTTGTTTGTTGTTTGTTTGTTTGTTTGTTTGCATATGTGTGTGTGCATGGATGTGTATGTGTGTGTGTGTGTGTGCGTGTGTACACGGTGTTCACAGCACCTGCACCTTTGCTGGCACTCTGGACTGAGTTCAATTCGTAATTCATCACCTCGCATCACTCACCATCTTCTCTCGTCCCCCCTTCATTACACACACACATACACACACACACACACACACAGGTTGAGCTGCACCCCTACCTGACTCAAGAGTTCCTCGTGCGCTTCTGCAAGGAGGTGCAGCCATTGCAATTTGCATGCATGCGAAAGAGAGCGAGAGAGAGAGAGAGAGAGAGAGAGAGAGAGAGAGAGAGTGTGTGTGTGTGTGTGTGTGTGCGTGTGCGTATGTTTAGTTGTGTGCAGTTGTGTTTCTTTTGTGTGTGCATGTTTAATTGTGTTTTTGTGTGTTTTTGTGTGTTTTTGTGTGTTTTTGCGTGTTTGCTCATGTGTTTGCCTGTGCAGAGCTTAACCCTTTGTGTGTGTTCTCCACATTGTTGTCTTCCGCTTACACTTGCTGCACGCACACACACACACACTCACGTGTCGCCCCCCCCCCCATTTCTCCATGACACTATCCACCTCAACTCGAACTCTTTGTTGTGTTTCCCTTGATCCTTCTCGTGTCCTTGGCTGCAGAACGGCGTTGTGGTGACCGGCTACAGCCCCTTTGGCGCCCTCTCCTACGCCTCCATCGGCATGGCAAAGGAGGAGGTATGTATCATGTACTCTACGTACTGTACTGGACTGTACTGGACTGCACTGGACTGAATGTATTGCTGAGCAAGCGTGCAACGTTACATTTTCACAGCAACACAAGACAGTCTTCACTTTCACAGCAACACAAGACAGTCTTCACTTTTACAGCGACACAAGATAGTCTTCACTTTCACAGCAACACAAGACAGTCTTCAGCTTCACATCCATCCACCCTACCCTGTCTTCCTCAGTCACCTCCTCCTCCCTCCCTCCCCTACTCACATACTACACATGCGTGTTGCACCCCGCCCCCTCCCCCATTGCAGGAGAGTGTGCTGAACAACGAGGTGATTGGCAAGATTGGTGAGAAGCACGGCAAGAGCCCTGCGCAGGTGTCGCTGCGGTGGGCGTGCCAGCGCGGTTACACCGTCGTCCCAAAGAGCGCAAACATCGACCGCCTCAAACAGAACCTCAACGTCTTTGACTTTGAGCTCTCCCAGGTGCGCGCACATGGTGCTGGTTGTGGTGAAGCAGGTGATGTGATGGAGGTGGTGATGGAGGCAGTGATTGGGGTGGTGATGGGGTTGGTGCTGGGCGTGACGATCGAGGTGGTGATGGAGGTGATGGTGGAGGTGCTGTCATCAGGTCGCCGGCGTGTGCCAGTGTCATCATTGCTGTACTATTCCAGTTTTCGCTTGCTCTTGACGTTGCCATTGCTGCATGCTGACACCTGCCTGCTCCGTATTCTGCAGGAGGAGATGGAGGCCATCTCTGGGCTGAACCGCAACCGCCGCTACAACGACCCCGGCGTGTTCACGGAGCTTGCCTTCAACACCTTCTACCCCATCCACAACTAAGCAACCCAGCAACAGTCACAACCACCACCAGCAACGTGGACAACAGGACAACTTTGACTCCCCAACAATAAACGAGAACGAGCCAGAACGGAGAGATGCAAAGATCAACAAAGTTCCACACAAGCGCACAGGCAGGCTGGCAGACAGACACACACACACACACATACACACACATACACACACATACACACACACACACACACACACACACACACACACACACACACACACACACACACACACACACACACACACACACACACACACACACACACACACACACATGCACACACACACACACACTCACACAGAACCCACCCACACAGTGCAATTCTGTCAAAAGCTGGTTTTCATATGGGTGATTTTCTGCATTTGGATAAAAGAGGCAAGAAAAAGGCCAGTGAAATTCTCGCGCCGAGTGCTTGGAAAATCTGCGAAAGACTGCGAAAGAGGTGAGGAAGACTGAACGGAAGGTGCAGAAAACACTGAAAGCAACGGTAAGCAGACGAAGCGGAAGAAGCAAGCCACGCTGGCTGGCTGGCAGCGTTTGATGGGTTGATGGTGATGATGGTGATGAAGTACGTGGGATGATGATATGATGCAGCGCACTGAGCCAGGGGGTTGGCGGCGGAGGAGGAGGCAAGGGAGAGTGTGGGCGCAGCTTGTTGTGCCTTGACGTTGTGCAAGCGGCGCAACCTCCTTGTGCCTCGTTGTGCGCCAAGCAACAGCCCGGCTCCCACAGCTGTGCCTGCAGTGCCACCCATTCTGTTCACGTCGCACACTGACTCACATGTTACGTCACATGTACCACGCCACCGCTTCGGTGGATCGTGCTGCTCTGCATGCTGTGTTGAATGCCGTGGCTTGCGATCTTGGGTGTCATGATCGCGCCATCGCTTCGGCTTGTTGTGGTGCCAGGTGTTGTCAGCACATCACAGCGCATCACTGGATCTTCTGAACAAGGAAGGACTGCAGCCAGAATTGCTAGTTCGGTGCTCGCTTTGCTTGCGACACAACAACCGCAGCTGCACACACCATGCCGTGTTGCCCTGGACGCAAGACAAAGCGTCAGTCCGTGCGCATGCAGCGACAGGAGATGACCGAGCGTGCACTTCAGCAGGAGCGAGAGGAGCAGTCCAACCTGGACCTTGAGGAAGACACTGCCGGCGTGCAGCTCAGTGAAGTGGGCTCTGCAGCCGCTGGCCACCAAGGTGCATGATGAGCTCTGTGCGTGCCGGGAGGGGGGGACGGGGGCGGCTTTTTTTTTGAGGGGGGGGGGAGCGAATGTGTGGTGAGTGAGCTGATGGCTGCCGGCTGCTGGCGAATGCGTGGTGTCTTTCGGTTGGTGTGTTTGTGTTGTCCTGCACACGTGTGCTTGTTGGTGCGACTCACGCCTCTTGCATCTCTCTGGTGCTGTTCGTGATCATGATCGGCCGACAGATGTGCAAGCCTCAGCAGAGTACATCAAGACCATCGCCCGCGTGTTCGAGCTGGTGCGTTGGCTTACAGAGTGGGTGGTTGAGGTGTGCGGGGATGAGCGAGTGGATCAGGTAGAGGGCTCCGGAAGAAGGGGGCGAACGAACAGCATACCGTGGGATCAGCAGTGCGAGCACACAGCTGTTCCAGATGCATATGCTAACATCCTCTGGTGGCTGTTGCTTTCTTCCTCCTCTGCTTGTATCCCTTCCTCCTCTGCTTGTATCCCTTCCTCCTCTGCTTGTAAATTCCCTGCTCCTCTCATTGCCACGTGCGCTGCTGATCGTTGGTTGTGCTGCGTGCATGACAGGCCAAGGAACAGGAAGCACCCATGGCAACCGCACAGGCTTACGTACGTCCATGACACACCAATTGTGCAGCATTGATCCAATCGTTTGTGTGGGCATGTGTGTGTGTGTGTGTGGGCATGTGTGTGTGGAGTGTGTGTGTATGTGTAAGTGGTGGCTCGTATCAGTTGTGTGCCATATCAGCTGTGTTCTTTGCTGCTGTTCCGTTAATTCGTGATCGAACGCACGGCGTGCTCTTTCTTCCCTTTTGCAGATGATGAATGCGATTGAGCGCGCCTCTGCGATGCTCAGCACGTGCGAAGACAAGCTCAAGGCCTGCGACAGCCAGCTCGGCGAATGGGTGCGGGCCGGGTTGCAGTGGTGTGAGAAGTGGAGGGTGGGGGAGGAAGAGGCGTGTTTTCTTGCTTGCATGTATGTGTTTGTGTTTGTGCTTGTGCTTGTTTGTGTGCTTGTGGTTTTATGTGTGCTTGTGCGTGTGTGTGCTTGTGGTTTTATGTGTGCTTGTGTGCGTGTGGAGTGTTCACAAAGTCCAGGTGGAGCGAGAAGCAAGCATGCTGGGATCTGGTGTTGTGGCATTTGTATTCTTAATTGCATGTGTGTCATAGATTGCTCGGCCCTCACACACATGCGTGTGAACTCGTGTGCGTGCGGGTTTTGCTGTGTGCAGGCTGGCTCTGTTGCGAGCGCCACTGAGGGTGAGAACACCGACAACGCGGCCACCATCGAGAAGGTAACATAATGAACTGGCCGCCTCTTGTGACCCACTGGCACTTGCGATAGAGGCATGCGGTGGTGTGGCAGCCCGTTCAGCAGCCCGTTCAGCAGCCCGTTCAGCATGTACACACCTCACACATGCGTGCTTGTGTGCTGCTCGTGCTGATGTTGCATGTGTGTGCATGTGTGCACGAGTGTTCGCATACCCACATTGTTCTCCATGCGCGGTTATGCTCACGTATCTGTGCATGTTTCACGTGCGTGTGCGTGTGCGTGTGTGTGTGTGTGAGCAGATGAAGAATGAGCTGCTCATCACGTCGCAGCTTCGCTCCGCCTTTGTTCTCGCTTGGGTTCGTCAAACGTGTGAACTGTTATCGCTACAACTTTGGAGCTTGCAGCTGTCTGCACCCGTCTGCTTGCTGTTGGTGCCCATTGTTCTTGAGGCTTGCGTGTCGTTGACATGTCTCACCGTGTGCATACTGCTTACTGTCTACATCCCCATGCGTGCGTGCATGCATGCATGCAACTGCCGCGTTGTGTTGTTTTTTTTTTATCTTGTTTTGTTATGTTTCACATTGACAGACGCAGGCCAACGAAGACCTCAAGTCCGCGTCATCCTGGTGCACCAAGGCAGCGGAGGCGTGCACGTACGTTAGCATCCGAAAAATTTGATCCAAGCTTCCCATGCAACCACAAGCCTCGCACACGCATGCACACCTCCTCCTCCTTTCATCACGACACCTTATCATCTCACCACCGCCACCACCGCCACCACCATCATCACACCACCACCATCACCACCACCATCACCATCATCTCACCACCATCATCACACCACCAACCATCGCCACCACCACTCGCCACCCTTTGACAGGAGTTTCATTGAGCCAGCGCGCCAGCTGGAGGAGGACGGACGTTCCCCCTCAGACATGATCAGCGTCTGGTTCACAGAATACGTCGCAGCCATGAACGTGTGTAGCCATGGCTCAAGGCTTTTCGTGTGTGTGTGTGTGTGCGTGTGTGTGTGTGTGTGTGTGTGCGGCGGTGGTGTCGCCTTTGTGTGTGTGTGTGTGTGTGTGTGTGTGTGTGTGTGTGTGTGTGTGTGTGTGTGTGTGTGCGCGCGCGCGCGCGTGTGTGTGTGTGTGTTGCCTTTGTGGGTATCACTGTTTTGGTGACGGGCAGGTGTCGTGCTCACGATGTGGAGGCATGCCTCATCTTCGTATTCATGCCGTTCTTCTCGACGTTTGTCATCTATCTGCAGAAACTGCACGAGCTGTACAATGACCTGGGCGCCATGTGTACGTCCTGCCTCCACTACATCGACGACCCAAAGTACTGCGCTTTGTGCAGGCGGTGCTGGTGTTCACGTACATCGTGTGTGACATCGTGTGTGCGTGTGTGCGCGTGTGCGTGCAAGTAGTCTTATTTGCTCTGCGCGTTTCGAGCGTTGTGAGTGTTGCACACCCTCACCACACCGTGCCTCACCTGCTTCCTGTTCCTTACCCTCGTGTCACCCCCCCCCTCTCGCCGTCATTCCGTCAGGTTCAGTGAGGACTTTATCACCGATCTCCACGAGCAGATCCTCGCCCTCCCGACAGAGGTGCAACCACCACCCTGGCCCTCGCATGCTCTAGCCTTTGTTGGCGCGCGTATGCTTACACTCCTGTGCGTGTGCATGTGTGTATGTGTGTGTGTATGTGTGAACATCACATCACATGTCCATCTTGTTTCGCTGACTCACTACCTCCTTGTCACCACCACCACCACCACAAAATAGGGTTCGCAGGCAGAAGGGCTCGGCGCGTTGGACGAGCGCCTGACGCGTGCGGGCGAGACTGCCGCCCAGCTGCGTGAGCTGGTGGCGGCGCAGGTGGAGAGCATCAGCGCAGCGCCCCGCTCCCACTTTGAAACGCTCGAAGTCGTCAACGGCGAGCGCCTGGTGCGGCAGTGGGGGAAGGGGAGGGGGAGGTGATGAAAGGGAGTGACTTTTTTTTACGGCCGGGAGAGGGGGGGGGGGAAGGTTTGGCAAAACAACAGTTGAACAAGGGTTGAAGAGGGAAAGGGGCGTGGGAGAGATGTTACGAGGAGGGAGGCAGGGAGATGTTGCTGTGCGGTGTTGCTTTCTGTGTCTTGTGTTCACCTCTGAAATGCTTCCGCCTCCCTGCGCACCAAATCTCTCTTGCACCACCAGTCGCTTGACAAGGAGTACTTTTCTGTGCTGCTGACGCCGGCGCACTCGATCGACGTCACCCTCCTCGAGGACCTCCAGGCATACGAGGTGTGCTGGTGGTGGTGGTGGTGGTGGTGGTGGTGGTGTTGCTGACACCGTTTTACTGAAACCGTTGCGTCATTCGTGCCTTCATTCATCCACACACACACACACACACACTCACTCACTCACTCACTCACTCACTCTCACACACACACACACACACGCACGCACACACACACACATGCACACGCACGCCCATTGCCTGCATGCACAGCTTGCTGGGTACGGCAGTGCCCTTGCCTGTGCTGCTGCAACGGACTGCGTGGGTGTGGCCAACACGATGCTGGAGCGCGCCAAGCAGCACGTGACCGCCGTCGTGGACGCGTGCGGATCGTTCTCGCTCGCCGATGAACACCGCACCAACACGCAGGAGCTTGCAGACAAAGTCACGGTCAGTGGTTGTTGATAGGGAGGAAGCGTGTGCTGCTCCTTTCTGGTTGGTTGTTGTTGTTGTTGTTGTTGTTGTTGTTGTTGTTGTTGTTGTTGTTGTTGTTGTTGTTGTTGTTGTTCTTGCTGTTGCTGTTGCTGTTATTGTCATTGTTGTTGCTGTTGCTGTTATTGTTGTTGCTGTTGTTTAAGTTGTTGTTGTTGTTGTTGTTGTTGGTGGTGGTGGTGGTGCTACCACTGGGACCTGCCATCGAAACAAGCACGTGCACGTGTGCATGTGCATGTGCGTGTGGGTGCTTGCGCTTGTGCGGAAGCAGTCCGCGTTTGTTGATTCAACGTGCTTAAACCTCTCCACCCGCGGAAGCGTGCGTTCTGATCCTGTCTTATTCACATCACGGTGTCCTTTTCTTGCACGTGCGCACACATCTGCCAGGCACCGTCCACGGTGGCGCCGGAGTGTCTGTCCACCATCTCTGAACAGCAAGCGGCGGTCGTGTCCACCATGCAATCTGTCAAGGCGGACATTCTCGCCGCCTCCAGCTCGGACACGCGCGCAGAGGACCTCAAGGCCGCTCAACAGGTGCCCGTATGTGTATGTGTGTGCATGCTTGAATGTACGCTCGTCAGTGCCTTTCTGTGTGTATGTGTGTTTTGAGTGCGTGCATTTCAGTCTGAGGTCTGCTTTGGATGTCACGCGCTCTTTGCTGACAACACAACACCCCCCCCCCCAACACACACACACACATTTCCACCACCCTCCCACATGTACAGGCGCTTGTGCCCGCGTGCGAAGAGGTGTTCAGCTGCATCGACCGGTTTCTGAAGGACGAGGACAAGACGAGCAAGTCGGTTATCGCCGCCATCGC